CCACCAGTAAGAGTGGTAAATTAGGGGATGAACTCGGTTCATTGGATTTCGGTAACCGATTTCAATAAAACTTAGCAAATAGAAGATGTGACTCTACAAATTTTTAAGGTCTGTTTTTTTTTATAAAAAAGTTATCATTATTGCCAAGTTGCTGCTTATTATGTAAATTAATGCTTTCAAAAAGTATATATCTCTATATATAACTTTTCACAACTGCCTAAAACAAGTTTTTATTGTATGTTTCAAAAGAAAACCCAAAACAACTACATGTAACACCAGCTATTTTCATACACAAACTTTTTAACACTAGCTAACCTAACGGTTGATTGTGTGTTGTTTTGTTTATAATCCATAATATTGAATATAGAAAATAATAACACCCAATTATTCATACTTTCCCCCTTACCTACGTGTGAGGTATTTTATTAAAACAATTAATGATGAACTATATAAGTCATCTGCTCATCAGTTACCACACGCCTCGGTTGCGACCTTAAATTGTCACGATGTTGACAACTGTTGATAAGGATTAATACTCATATTATTTATAATATTTTAGTCACAAATTAAAAACAAGTTATTATCTTGCACATAGCACATATATTGATTATATTCGATATACTCCTGAACCGTAAAGAGCGTTTAAATTGATAATCATCATCCAAAACCAGAAACTTTATAAACTTATTTAAAAATCTTCGTTGGGAAATTGTACGTAGAACAAAATTGTAGATACCTAATTTATACACCTAATTTATATGTGAGTAGGTCTCAGAATGAATCTGGACAAAACTAAAGTTAAGTTCAACGCACATGTGACCCCGGGACCCGTAACCGTAAGTGGGGCTACTCTTGAGGTTGTGGACAATTACCATAATATTAACCTTAGAGCTAAGTCCAAACTCATGGTACCACGATTTCGTTTAACCAAGGTAAACAACTCTTTTATGGGAAACTGTATACGTTTTTACAATAAGATTCCGGAGTATATATTAAGTTTATCATTTCCTAAGTTTAAAAACTACATTATAAATATTTTGATCGAAAAATCATATTACAAAATTGAAGACTACGTGTTAGATAAAGATGTATGGAAAGACGACATGGCTCCAGAATCCACTCAAATTTGATTCAAAGTGTATTCCATAGCATTTAAGTTTATTTAAAAAAAAATCCCTAGAGTTTCTTGCTCGTTCTTCTCAGGGAGGTCAGCGTAGTGAACGAGCAGTGGCTTAAATGTGACGTTTTCAAGTGTAAATTTATTTTACCTATGGAATAAATAATCTTTGACTTTGACGTCTACCTTGGCCAAAATATCCAGCTTGGCAAGCACAACTTCGAGAAGGAAGCCGACAGGTGAATTCGTTTGGGCTGAGCGACATTTGGGAAGCTTAGCCACATCTTCAGGTCGTCAATCCCACAAAGTCTAAAAACTAAGGCAAGTAACCAGGCGTTCTACTAGTTATGTCCTACGCAGCTGAGACGTGGACATTAAGGTCGCTCAGCGTGCGATGGAGCGAGCTACGCTTGGGGTTTCTCTGATGGACCGAATCCCTAACGAGGTCATTCGTCAGAGAACTAAAGTGACCGACATAGCTCGCAAAACCAGTAAGCTGAAGAGGCAGTAGGCCGGGCATGTCTGCAGGAGGTTTGATCGCCAATGAAGCAGACTTGTTCTGGAATGGCCACCACGTCAAGTGTGGGACGCCCTGAGGCAAGATGTACAGACGACCTGAGCAAGTTGGCCGGCTGTAGCTGAATGCGGGCAGCACAAGACCGGGAAAGTTGGCGTGCTCTTAGGCTTATGTCCAGCAGTGGATGCGTGTAAGCTGATGATGAATTTATATACCTACAATTTATACATATGTGAAATTAAAGGCAAAGTTTCCTCACACCGCAATAAAAAGAAAAATGCGTATAACAACGGTCGCTTTAATAAGTCACTTGTTTTATTTATTTCTTGACTCTACTTAAGCACCCAATTTAAGTATAAAATATATAAAAGATTCTCGTTAATTCATAGCTAAAATGAAACTGCGAATAAAACCAAAGTTTATGTGGATCACAATTTTGATGACGTTTTTGCTGTTTGTGTTCTTAACTAAATGTACAATGATGTAATGCTACACTCATAGCATATTTGCCGTTTTTTTTTTCAGCATAGCAGCTATTGGAATTTATTAGAACTCTCGTATCTGTTAGATAAGATATTGGTAATCTCCATGATGTCATCGTATTGTGAATGTCCTGCTTGAGAAATTTGCACAAGATACCAAGCTATCTCAAATATAGGCAAATGACTATTGCTCTTAGCAATATATAAATTTGAAGTCAAGCTACATGAAATAACACCTTCATCCAAATCACAAATCAAACTAAAAGTTATACCACAAACAATTACGTTATTGCCACACCTGAAAACTATTTGTACTTGGGAACACCAAAGAAATGATTAAGCATGAAAATAACGCATGTATTTTAATACTTAAGATAATTACCATCGCATTAGCCCAATTATAATTGCATAATGGCATTGTCCTTCAGAATAAGCGGTACAAATGAATCATAACAGAGGAATCGAATTATCGAGGCATTATTTGGGTCGAGTTTGGTTAATAAGATCCCTAGACGAGTTAGCTGAGTTTTCTGGTAATTAATATTTATTTGCAAGTACTAATGGTGAATGAGGAAAAAAATAGCACATTTCGGAGTAATTTATTATGCTTGATAGCTTTCAAGGAAGCGATAACCACTGAACATAAGGTATCTGCAGTGTCAATTAGGTTATTGACTAAAGTTACATAATTAGTTTTTTACCGACTTCAATTCGACAATAGTAGCTTTTTGGTTTTTTTTTGTGTGTATGTTACGCGATGACTCCGGCATTTGGGAACCTACTTTGTCAATTCTTTTTTGTTGGAAAGACAGTAACTCAGTATTGGTCCCATTTAAATTTTGAGAAAATAGTGTACCTATAAAGGGATGAATCCGGTTTCGCGCACTTTCCTTTAACCGATTGCAATAAAACTTGGCAATTAGGTGTAATTCCAATAAAAAAGCCGATAAGCAAATTTTGAGGTCATTTTTTTTTTCAATAAAAAGAAAATTATCATTGCCGTGTTCTCGTGCAAAATTTATTTATTTAACATTTAAAGATGTACGAAACGGATAACCTTGAAAGTGTCACCATTGTTACGTATGTAAAATATCGAATTACTTGCTACTTGATATTCTGTAAGTACGAACTTACATGCAACGTATCAGTCTGAAATAAGACACTAATTTTATTTGACACTGCCATGCTAAGCTCATTTTAATGTTATGTAGCAATTATTCAACTTGTCTATCCACAAAATTTAAATGTCAAGATTACACTGTAACTTGTTAATATAAGAATGAAACAACAGCAAAAGGTATTTTATTAAACTAGGCAGTTACAAAGGAAACTGCTATCAATCCACCTTAATTGCCTGCAATTGAAGATCGATATTGTGGTACAATTTTAATTAAAAACAATTACCCTAGTCGTTGCTCAACGGCGATAGCGAGTGGAACATGTGTACGAAAAGCGTTTCGTTTATTTGATTATTTTTGAAAGAGAATGGATATTTAGGAAAGAAAATGGATTCATCCTTTGATGCAATTACATTGTCATCATTTCCTAACAATTAAGTACAAAATTTACTACTTGGGTGTACTTTAGAATTTGATATTGACGCAGACAATGGAGAACTTTGGACTCCATTGTAACAATACGTCCAAACGCACGTATGTGTGACGTAAGAGCTGCCGGACTTCAAGTCTCAAAACAAAGCAAATGCCCTATTCATTTTAATGTCGATGACATATTGAATGTGGATCCAGAGCGGGTAACGAACACAATACCAACGTAGGTTCGTTTATTAGTTGATGACAAATTGACATTTGTACCAATAATAAATTATTTTGATAACCGTGGCACACATATTGATTGATGTCAAAATTAATGTTACTTAATTTAACACAGATAATATCTAATAACCACGGAAGTGTGTTAATAACGTAATAAAAAAATGTTACCTATTTAAGAACAGAACGACGATTTTATCCCAATTTAAAGCTTTAATGTATTTATTCAAGAAATGAAACAAAAAAAAAATACGTTAACAATTTATAATCCACAAATTGTTTGGTCTCAAACTAGGGAATTCCCTGTACTATGAGTATCACAGCACCGGAATTCACTCTACGACACTTCTCAGAACACCCAGTCCAGAACCAGTTTAGACCAAGAATCGAACCCGCCACACCCTGCATCCAGCGACCACAATATAAACCAGCCAGAGCCAGATAAGAACTTTGATAGATAACAATTCTGGCAGTGCTACCATTTGGGCTAAATATTACCAACTTGGTTCACTTATTCGGTCGATTACTTTAAAGTTTTACAAGGAGTAACAATATGACCCTGCACAGTTTAAAAGATATGATAGTGATCAATCCTTCCCCTGTGTTAAATGTAGTTAATTGAATTCAGAAATGCAAGCAGCTTCCCTGCTAACTAACCTTGTAACCAAGTTACTAAGACGATTCATTTTGAACTTATAATTTTTAATAAGTGTGTAATATTCATAGATTTCACAGACGCCACTACGGCTAAAAAGTCGTGAAATATCAAAATCAAAGATTTTTGGTTTGTTTGTTTTTGGTTTTTAACGACAGCAGTGTTAACACATAAAAAAATTTCGTAAGGCCTACCGGTTCGTTCTGTAAATAAGTTGGGAGACTGTCAGCCACGGTATGCCGAAGGCGCTGGTTCTAATCCAACTGGATCGAAAGCGGTTTTCACTAGCGGAGCAATTTCAAAAAAATTTAATATCAGTAGTAAAACATCGTGATATCCAATAAACTTAATATTACAAGGTATATAATATGTTAATTTGCTTTGATAAGTGCAGCAAAAATATGGTTTATAAAACGAATATTATCTTCACAAGCTATTAACTAAAATGTTTGCTTACTTTAGGAGTTCAGACGGTAACAAGTGAGACATCCCAGCTCTTGCACTTCTGAAACAAAAAAATAAACAGTTTGAACACTCGTGAGCTAAGCTAAATGTGCAAAAAATTATAGAAATCACTCTATTACGCAGCTGCAAACTATTCCAATAATAACCGTGATTCAAAATTGAAATTCATTGAATCTCGACACACATTACGCGATTAAAATTTCAACAATCCAGTCCCTTGTGAACAGCTGTTATAATGCAACCAGCTATTATTAAGTGCAGGTAAAATATCAGGCGATCCCAAAAAAATGTTGTTTTCCTATTTTTAGGTAACGGTCTCCGTTGTAGAGTCGCGTTTGAATGATTCAAATTTGATTACAACATCAACATGAAAAAAATTACAGAATTGCAGAAGTAATTGAATCAATCAGAAGTAATCAGGAATATGGAGTTAACCTCAATAAATGTCACAATGCATTAGGTACGTTGTTCGTCTATGGCCACGTGTTAGGTTTGAGGACGACGGGGGTGAGGGAATGTATTGAAAACATACATACGTCCTAAGTTTCTGTAGTGACAGATAAGATCAATACCATAGAAAAAAATTGAAGACGTAATGGGCGTACTTAAAAAAATATCGATTTAACACTATTGTCAACAAAAACTATGATGTGGGCTTACATTTTTCAGTAGCCTGTTTTTACATATTTTCTTTATAAATCAGTCAATAATAAAGCAATTAAGACAATTTATTATCATTTGAATAGATCAAAAACCTCGATCAGATCAGACAATCGCAATTATCACAGGACTAATAAAATATATGCGTAATCGTAGAGTGCTATTTTGTCCTCAACATCAGGGCACAGGTTATCGTGTAAAGATTGCACAGACTTTATTGCCTGCATGTTATGGCCATCCGCCGGCGGAGTGCCACAGGGACTTCACTTAGGCCCATTGTTGTAAATTGTAGTTCTATTTCATAGAAGAATATAACGACCCTCATTGTGTCTCTTACATAAAAGTGCCTCCGCTTCCTCTAAGATAAATAGCTCTTGTTTGTAATAAGATAGCATAAGTGTAGCAAATTGATAAATAGGACATTAACTTTCACGCTCCCGTATAATCAGACAATAAACAGCGGCTGTAATACGACGCGAAGTAGTATTAGGAATGCTGGTAACATTTTAGTTTGTACAGGAAGTGGTATGTTCGATAGTAATTTAATGAATCCGTAATGTTTATCTGTATACATTTATGTAGATGCGAACAGAACCCCAATTGTGATAATTTTCTTAGTCATTGTAATCTTATGGAGACTCCACCGAGGTGATATTGCAATTATGATAATATTGTTGTCATTCTGCTAAAATCTACTTGCAATCAGTGGAATGGTAGTGATGACTGATGATATTCAATAATTAACAATCGATGTTGCCTTACAATAACTACCATGGAAACAGCTGTGCATATCTTAATTTTTATTTCGTTTAAGCAGCAGTTTAGTCTTCAAATTATTGTAATTTTTCTTGTAAAGTAGATTACGTAGTATTTAATAGAATAATAGATCGAAGGCTAGTCACAGACAAGCCATTATTCTTAAGTTTTAGTAGAATACCAACTGTACAAAATCCCAGTGACAACCTATCGACAGACAACTGAGATGATTAAAGGTCCTGGTGTAATGTCCATATTTAGTAGGTTACCGGACTTGGATGGATATTTGGATATGCATAGGTAATAACATATATATCATGTTTATCACTCGTCTTACGCTAGTAATTCACGTTATCATGTAAATCAGGTCAAGACTCTTTAAGATCATATATTGATATAGCTTCAATGTCATTTCGGTTTTTCTGTATTTCTCAGATTGACATTAATATGCACAAGACCGGTTCTCGTGAATTTTTATATGACGTAAACATCGTAGACATATAACACGTTATATTAGCCGTTATACCGAAGTTATAAGTCTGACTATAAGCGGATGTGACACTTGCGGATTGATGAACATTTTGATATAGCCACAAATTAATGTGTAGCCGTTCAATCAACTAATCGATGTCGTTATCGCGAAATGTTTTTCAAGGATGTACTACATGATACAACCGTTATCATTGTTGAGAAATTATTTGACACAATAAGTTCTAAAAATTAATTCACATCCCGAATTTTGTACACAATGTGGAATACTAATTGAAGCCATGTCACTTTATTTTATTTCAGCATGTCAAGTCTTTTTACGCAAGCGGTTCAAGGCTAAGAAGTTCACTGTCTATCGGATCAGATTGTTGACTAAGCTGTGGTTACATTATATTTAGTTAGTCACAACCTATTAGGAGTGCTGACTTCACCTGTCTAAGCAAACTGATAACGCCCCGTTTCACACATTTTACTCGTTGTACATACAACCATTCAGCACTTACATATAAAATAACGACGAAAATAGAAATCATCCAAAACGTCGCTGAAAGCTCAATAACGCATTGTACCACTGAAAAAATTGATTAGCATACATATTATAAATAATAATTATAATTATTATATTATATACAACAAAACTGCTTCTGTGGCCGAACTGTTGACATGCTGGTCCGCCACGATGAGGTCGCGGGTTCGATTCGGACCTCGTCAAATATATGTATGGCCTACATTTATTTCTCTCGTGAGTTTGGGTGTAATTTGTGGTTGTCTGTGTGTGTGTTCATGGCACCCGAGATACAGGGTTTTCCTAGTGCTGGGCTATGACTGTGGGCGTTATTAGTGTGTGAGATATTATTTTTATCTCTTAACTACATTAGTATTATTCTTATCCTTACTAATGAGAGCATTCCTATAAAGCTCAGTCCTTTGTCGTTTTTATGGATGTGCTTCGGTTACACTAGAGTTTATTTGAAACGAATGTAACTGTAGCCTAAATGCGCAATGCGCGTAACAATAACAGGTACAATAAAATTTGGCATATCAAAAAAACTAGTTTTTATATAACTGCTTGCACCCGCGGTTAAAGTAACGGTAACAAAACCGCTGCAAATACCGTACGGGATGTAAACCGAAAATGGTTTGCTGCAGCATGGCATTGCCAAATTGGGATTTTGCTTATCTACCGGCAATAGAAATTTACTCGGGACGTTTCAGGATATCGTATCTAAGGGAGCCACAAATGAGTCGAATGCCAGTAGAAATTTATGTCAAATTTCGCACATTATTGAAAAGGCGCAGACGTTTAAACGTATCGCAACAGCACTATTAGACTCCTAAGATGTAATTGTATATTTGTGAGTTATGACGATTGTGCAATAATTAAGGTTCCTTTTTTTTACTGCATATTTCATATTTTATTTAGCTCAAGATCGGGATGCGTGGAGGGATCAGGAGGAGGCCTTTGTCCAGCAGTGGGATACATCAGGCTAACTGTAATGTAATGTAATTTTAATATTATAATAGCTTCCTTTACATTTCCTTGTATTAGATTACATTATAATGAAGATAAATTTATCTTTATCTTCAAGTAGTTTAAAAAAGGCTACTGCGACCTAGTAGGTATAATATATTAATTAAACATTAAACAACTTATTGTCTAAGGCAAAATTTAATGAAATTGGACCATCTGTGCCTCTGTGCATTTTCTTTGGCCGTACCGGATTAGTAGATTTCGCCAAGAATAAAAAAAATATTTGGTATTTTAAAAACTTCACAATGTAATCTTGGCATAAAAAAATCTTTTTATACTTCATCTAAAAATATCCTTCAATAGCGGTATTGCCTTCAATATCAATTTAAAATTAATGTTCAAACGGAACTCATAGAAAACACAAAACAAAAAATGTAAATAGTTGTTACTCTATACTTTTGAGGTATCAGCACAGTGGAACATAAATCTCCGAAAAACCTTGTACATTCTTGATGATTATTACATCACAAGTGGATAAAAAAGATAAAATTGGTTAGATGGCAACACCATCTGTTCGTGACTACCGTAATTTCGTATCCACTTTACGACAAGGCTGCAAAATAGACATAAGACACAAATACAAAAAGTTTAATGAGGTACAAGAAGCATACGAGATAAGTAAATAAAACATTTCTTCAAAGCTAAAAGACGTCGAAGATTACTCAGCTCGTCCTGGCCAAGGAGGTCGTGTACATTATGCAAAAGAAGGGTTTACTGATCGCAGAGATAAACATGCGTGATGTAATACTTTTACAAAGACGTAAAAGGATGGAGACTTACCATAAATCTACATGATCAGCATACAAAACAAGACATCTCAATAAAATGACTTTGAGGTTTTAAAGATTGCTTTAGGGGTGTACTGATATAAATGTCATAAAGAGGTTATGACTCCTACTTTGCATAAACTGACAATGACAGACAGTATGATCGTATGGTCAGCGAGTAGACACAGCTGAGTGAAAGTACCTACTGGTAGATTAACAAATAATTAACTGTGGGTGGAATTTTGCAACACCGTCTGTTACAGATCATGCCGATGTCAATCGGAAGCAAATTAATTCTCAGATCATTAATTGAACGTCAGATTTTACTACTCATTAACAAAGACAAATGGCATCGCGTGAAATTAAGGAGCTCTTGCAAAAACTAAACACGGCGAAGACCATTAAATGAACAAGATTATATTTGTTTCAATACATCTCAGTTATGACAAAAATTTTAAACGTAATTAAGCAAATACGAAGTTCCGTTTTCGTAATTCATCTTCCTCTAGTTAGATAGCATGGCGTCAAAAAAACATACACTGCATTTTCATGAAAATCGACTAGTAATTATCCAAATATAGTTACTTATATTAAATAGCTATTATGTATTTACCTACATTCCATTTTCGGCCATTACTTTTAAAATTTGTTTGCATGTTTTCCCTACAATCTTCGCAGGTATACAAAGAATCTATTAAATCTCATATTAAGTCATGCATTCAGTTTTTTGTGGACAAAAATTTCTCTTTGAATATTTTTTTCTGGAGTTCCTTATTTACTTCTCACCTTTTCATGCAAGTTTCTCACGTGATGACTACACATACAAATAATTTCGTT